GTCAGTATAGATTTTTTTTCCCCAGAATTTGCCTCAGGTACTGAAAACCAAGAAATCAAACTTGCTCCAAGGGCCCCAAGGCCTGGGCAGTTGGCATTTTCAGACGACTCCTATCAACAGCTTGCAGATTCCGACTGCCTGACACTGCTGTCGAGTTTGTTTTTACACTGGTACTACATAAAGAAAGAGTGATGGTTGGGGCGGGGCTGCCATTGCCATGCAGACCCACAGTGGTGGCCCATCAGCCTCCTTCCCGCCCATCTCTCTGCAGGAGGATGTGTGGACCCTAAGGACGGCTGCCTTCACATGTTTTGTAGATCCTTGCTTGAGTCGTTTGCCCTTTCCTCGATATAGCATATTCCTTAGTCCATGCCTTGTGACATCATGGAATTTCCCTTGGACCCTTGGTCGCAGGGACCCATCTTATGTGACACCTTGTTTGCAGAAATAGGGTTAGTAACACTCACCTTAAAGGACTGTGGTAAAAATTCATCTGACAAGCCAGACCCAGAGGCAACAGCCTGAATTAAAGGCATGAAATTGTGCCTGGGTTTGGCATATTGAGGAAATTTTAAAATGGAGATAGTTGCCAATGATGAAATGAAGATTAAGGATTTCACCTAAAAACCCTTATTGAATGAAGCTTGCTTTGTTCACCTGGGTTTCCAACCTCCTGCTTATAGGCATCTTGGTTAACGATGCAAATCAGGTTCCCTAATTCATTACTTGCATTAAATTGAGTTCAATCTAGGAACACTGAGAGAAGTGCCTGCCCCAGGACCTGAGGTATACAGCTATGTGGGTTGGGAGTAGGGGCTTGGTTCTGGTATTAAAATGAGAGAAGGGATGTGGACAGATGAAAACATACAGGTTCTTACATCCCATTGCAACTGCTCCAAAGTGCTCTATAGCCAGCCCGGCAGGCTCTGAGGAATTCTGACAGAGAATTCCTAGCTTCTTGAGGTCCCTGCCCCCAACCCCACCCATACCCAGAAGCCAGCCTTTCCAAGAATTAGTCCTTCTCTCTGCCAGAGACACAAAAAAGATTAACACCCATAGTGCCTGTTCAAAGCCTGCCCTACCCTGGGGCGGTGGTGGAGGGGGTGCACTTCAGCTGCCAAGTGAAATGATCAAAATCCTGTGAGAGTGCTGTCTGCACCAAATTCTGAATTCCCTCAGAAACTGCAGGTGACTGCAGCCCTGCAGACTGGCGTGGGTGCCAGGGAGAAGAAAGCCCAGAGGAAGACTAGCTGAAAAATATCACATCTCTTGTCCAAGTAGGGATTTTTTTTTCTTTGAATTTATACAGCTCTTTGAATTTGCCCCAGAACAATTATCATTCAACAATTATAAACATCCTTTATTTTAAAAAACAGTTTTATTGAGATATAATTCACATATTATGCAATTCACCCACTTAAAGTATAACTCAATAGTTTTTGATATACTATGATATTAATTTTTAAAAATTGTGCTAAAAATATGGAACATAAAATTTACCATTTTAACCATTTTTAAGTGTAAATTCAGTGGCATTGATTACATTCACAATGTTGTGCAATCATCACCACTATTTCCAAAACTTTTTTATCACCCTAAACAGAAATTCTGTGATCATTAAACAGTAACTCCCCATTTCCCCCTCCCCAGCCTCTGGTAACCTCTAATTTACTTTCCGTCTTATGAATTTGTCTGTTCTATATACTTCATAAAAGTGGAGTCATATAACATTTGTCCTTTTGTGTCTGGACTCTCTCACTTAGCTTAATGTTTTCAAGTTTCATCCATGTTGTAGCATATATCAGAACTTCATTCCTTTTTAAGGCTGAATAATATTCCACTGTATGTATATACCATAGTTTTTAATTCAACCATCTGTTGATGGACCCTTGGGTTGTGTCCACATTTTGGCTACTGTGAATAATGCTGCAATGAACATTGGTGCACAAGTATCTATTCAAGTCTCTGCTTTTAATTCCTTTGAGTATGTACCTAGGAGTGAAATACCATCCACTTTTAACTTCCTCCCCCACTCTGGCTGCTCACACCAAGCCAGAAAATTAACTCTGATCCTAAAAATAGGCAGGGGTTTAGATGTTTAAGGGCAAGTGGACTGGAGTATGACCACTTAGAAGTACCTGTGGGAGTCCTCTGTCTCTTCACAGCCGCAAATGATATCACCCCTCCTGTTTGCAAATAGCCAAGCCCCATGGAAGGCAACATGAGGGGTGGTCAGACACCCTCAAAGGAGTTTCTGCTGATTCCCTCCTCCCTAAAAGAGGAGAAACAGCCCCTTCAGGAGGAAGGAGAGAGGAGGAGATTGGCACCTTGAGCTTCTTCTGAGGGCTAGGTGCTGGGGTAGAGGCTGTATATTTGTTTGCTTACTTAATCCCTTGGAGTACCAGTGTTCCCATTTTATGAGGAAACTGGTTCAGAGAAGGTTCCTCACTGACTCAAAGACTCAGTGGTAGAAAATGAAACTGCAGAAATTGGAAAACCCAAGCAGATGATGCATCTTGAGAGAAGGCCACACAACATGCTGTGGGAGTTCAGGACAGGGAGAGACCACTGCTGCTCGAGGGCTCAGGGGAGTTTTCCTGGAGAAGGTGGCCCATGAAGCTGGACCATGAAGGATCATTTTATTTCCACAAAAGCAGGGGGTGGGGATATAGATGCCGTTGAGCAATAGGAAAATTGGTTTGGAATCCTGTTCTGTTACACCTGGCTAAATCCCAAAGTCCAGAAATGGCTGTGCTATACTACAGTGCTGTAGGAGGTTTCCTGGGAAGCGACTCTGGGATGGAGATAAGACAGCAGGATGTTTACAGGGAGTGCCATGTGGGTCAACACCTGTGGAAGGGAGGGCAGAGGGGAGGAAGGGAGCAGGAGTGGCCTGAGTGGGAAGCGGGACTGCAACGCCTGCCAACAAAGCTGGGTTCTTCAGTGGTCCCAGGTGGACCAAGGAAGCCTGGCCTTTCTCTCCTGCATCGGCTCAGTCATCAGATATGGGATGCCCTTGGAAGGAGCCGTGACCTTGGGCGAGGCAGTGATCTTCAACCAAAATAATCCTCAAAGAGGGTTGACAGCTGAGACCTATCAGCTGACAACCTTTCCATTCCCAAAGGGGGATCTGGTGTCACATCACAGGGTCCCCATGCACTGTCTCGCCAGGGGTCACCCAGCTCTATTATGTATTCAAGGCTGAGGACCTTCAGATTCCTCCTTGGGCCTCTTGTCTCTCCTCATCCAGACAATTGTTAAAAAAAAAATAAAATAAAAAAATGTCAGCTTGAATATGTTGAGCTGTTCTTATGTGAAACATCTTTGATATTAGGAAGAAAAATGTATAAGTTCTTATTATTAATTAGCTTGATTTATTAAAAAGAATATGTTTATTCATCCAAAATGCAAAAATTTAAATACATATTTGAAATCTATTTGAAAATATAATAATGCATTCTGATATTATGACTACTTTTAAATGAGGTCCCCAAGGAAAGTGTTAAGACCCATATAACCTTCCTGAGAAAAATTAACAAATCCCAAGTGCATTGGGGATTCAGAGACAGGAGTGGTTTTTATATCAATGGAGAAAAGCATGGACAGCTGCAGGCTTTGCTCCAGCTGCTCACCTCTCTCCACTGTCTGTGGGCTTTCTCACTTCGGTGTGAGTGGTTAACTCTTAATGAGCTGGGGGACTAATCTCAATATGCCTGTGGCTGCCTCCTGCATGGTCAGGACAATGATCGAAGTGGGTTTTTGATAACATTCCTGTATCCGTTTTTTGATTTGTTTTTATTTTTTTTGCAAATGACAATTGCAGTTGACTTAAACAAAAAGAGAAGATATGGGCTCATGTACCTGAAAAGCTCAGACGGCTTCAGGAATGGCTGAATCCAAGGGTTCAAAAATGTCCTCAGATCTCAGCTTCTCAGTTTCTCTTGGGTTTGCCTCCACTCAGTTGACTCCACTCTCCGATAAGCTTTTATCTTTCTGTGGAAGATGGATGTAGCAGCCTCCTGATTTTTCAGGTTCATGTTTAGCAAGCCTCTTCTTTGGGATTGTCATGTGCTGCATCGAGGAGATAGGGCTAAACTTCCTCCCCTCTCCCCTTGAACATATGGGCTGACCCAATTAAAGTTAGAGGCCATAGCCAGAAAAGGAGTGTGGCAGACGCAGTTGGTTACTGTGATGGATTTGGTGGGGATGGAACTCAGTATTTTCCATCCTTCATCTAGTGTGCTTTCCTATATTTCAGGAGATTCAGAGGTAATAATTACATTTCTCAGACTCTTCTGCAGCTACAATTTTGGCTGTGCTTTGATTCTTCCCATTGGATGTTCTCCTATAAAGCTTGGATCGCTAAGTTGAGGTGGGGCCAGGATTCTGCCAGCAAATTCAGCTGGGGAGGTGTTTGGTTTTTCTGTAGTTGCTGTAGCAGGGTTCTCAGTGTCCAGTCTCTGGCCTTATGGGTGTCAAGTGGCAGGTGGGCCACTGGTTGAGCTGGTATGAACCACAGTACACACCGTATAGTCAAGGAGCCGGCAGCAGTACTGATGGCTTCCCGATCATGGCCATGGCAGTGTGCTTCCAGAGTCTTTGGCTTTCTGAGCACAGGCCAGGCAGCAGCTTACTTGGTAGCCCAGCTCTTCATGGTGATTTTAGGACTCTTTCCTGAATGCTCAACCCAGAATCTGCTTCTTTGGCTCCCACAACAATTTTGTTGATGAGTTTATACCCTGAAACAAATCCCTTCTGCTTCATTTAGCTACAATAAACTCCCTTTTCTGTATCAGCCCTTCAGCTGTCTCCTCTGTGCTGCCCCCTTGCACCCACTTCTTCCTTGCTGGAGGTACCCACTCCCACTAGAAAGGCTGGAAGTCTCTCCTGGTGTCTTTTGCAGCTGAGTCTATATTGGGCATGTGTGTGAGGAGGGGAGCATTTCTGGACAAGCTTTCTATCCTAATAAAAAGTGACATTTAAGAAAAATCTTCCCGATTGCAGTACATTGAGCTCCATAGAGACAGCGCCGGGGCAAGTGCGAGTCGGACGGGCACTGGGCGACTCTGTGCTCGCTGAGGAAAAATAATTAAACATGGGCAAAGGAGATCCTAAGAAGCCGAGAGGCAAAATGTCATCATATGCATTCTTTGTGCAAACTTGCCGGGAGGAGCACAAGAAGAAGCATCCAGATGCTTCAGTCAACTTCTCAGAGTTTTCTAAGAAGTGCTCAGAGAGGTGGAAGACCATGTCTGCTAAAGAAAAGGGAAAATTTGAAAACATGGCAAAAGTGGACAAGGCCCGTTATGAAAGAGAAATGAAAACTTATATCCCTCCTAAGGGGGAAACAAAAAAGAAGTTCAAGGATCCCAATGCACCCAAGAGGCCTCCTTCGGCCTTTTTCTTGTTTTGTTCTGAGTATCGCCCAAAAATCAAAGGGGAGCATCCCGGCCTGTCCATTGGTGATGTTGCAAAGAAGCTGGGAGAGATGTGGAATAACACTGCTGCAGATGACAAGCAGCCTTATGAGAAGAAGGCTGCTAAGCTGAAGGAAAAATATGAAAAGGATATCGCTGCATATCGAGGTAAAGGAAAGCCTGATGCAGCAAAAAAGGGAGTTGTCAAGGCTGAGAAGAGCAAGAAAAAGAAGGAAGAGGAGGAAGATGAGGAAGACGAAGAGGATGAGGAGGAGGAGGAAGACGAAGAAGATGAAGAAGAAGAAGATGATGATGATGATGATGAATAAGTTGGTTCTAGCGCAGTTTTTTTTTCTTGTCTATAAAGCATTTAACCCCCCTGTACACAACTCACTCCTTTTAAAGAAAAAAAATTGAAATGTAAGGCTGTGTAAGATTTGTTTTTAAACTGTACAGTGTCTTTTTTTGTATAGTTAACACACTACCGAATGTGTCTTTAGATAGCCCTGTCCTGGTGGTATTTTCAATAGCCACTAACCTTGCCTGGTACAGTATGGGGGTTGTAAATTGGCATGGAAATTTAAAGCCGGTCCTTGTTGGTGCACAGCACAAATTAGTTATATATGGGGATGGTAGTTTTTTCATCTTCAGTTGTCTCTGATGCAGCTTATACAAAATAATTGTTGTTCTGTTAACTGAATACCACTCTGTAATTGCAAAAAAAATTGCAGCTGTTTTGTTGACATTCTGAATGCTTCTAAGTAAATACAATTTTTTTTATTAAAAAAAAAAAAGAAAAATCTTCCCTCCTGCTTTTGGATGTGATTGGGAGAGAATGTGCTGTGTGGTGCTGAAGCAGCCCTTTTGCAACCCTGAGGACATAAGCCAACTGATGTGCCACTACATTCACAACCTTGGAACTGGAAACTATGAGAATTTTCTATTGTTTAAGCCACTTTCACTAGGTTGTATGGTTACCTGAAGCTGGAAGTGCCCTGATATAGATAGATAGATAGATAGGTAGATAGATAGATAGATAGATAGATAGATAGATAGATAGACAGATAGATAGATATCTTTTTTGGAGGGATTCAGGCATTCATGTTTTGGCTTCTTTAGTGCTGAATACATCAAGTTTGGCAGAGGGGAGGGTGGTCGGGACCCCTTTAGCTGGTTGACATGGGTGGTGTCCCTCAAACCTCCCATCCTCAATTACATTTCATGAAATACTATAGCTTTTATAGATGCCTTTCCAAGGTTTCTTATGCCTATTTTGATGTGAACAGGCAAACTCTTTCAGGCGGTAGGGCAAATATTATCTGTCCTGTATTTGTGATGAGAAATCTAGGGCAGAGACGAATTGCTGGGTCAATCTCACACAGCTAATTAAAAAGGTACAGAGTTGTGACCACTGCTCTAGTTTTATTTCTACTACACCACATTGCTGCCTCTAAACTTGAGCAAAATGATTTGTTAAAAAAAAAAAATAATAAAAAATTTAAGGGCCTAGCAGGGAAACAGCCTGTTGGTTGTTTCTCTCCCTGACCACTTGCTCTCGCCTTTGGCCACTCACGACCCATTTGGCCTCCTCTAAATCGGTAGGAGAAGGGGACGGTCAGCAGAGCAGGGGTTCAAACAGCACTAGGTGGAAATGCAACTCTCCCACTGTCAGACCCAACGGAGCGAGGTTCCTTCACAAACTGCTGTTGTTGCCGTGAGAGCGTCCGAGTGCCCAGCTCACCCTTTCACACGGGGTCTTGGGTCCTGGGTCACTGACCAGTCAGTTGTGGGTTGACGGGATGACACGAGCAAAGGGTCAGCTGGTCTACCACCCAGGCTCCTGGGCCCAGCCCTTTGTCAGGAGGCAGTTTCTGTAGAAAGGGCTGGGCCAGGGGTGACAGGAGCCGTGAAACGTGTCTACACAGTCCCTTTCCTGGGTTCTGATCCGAAGATCTCCCCTTAACTGTGGAGTTTCCTGGGCAGTTGCATCTTTGCCAGCTCTGAGGATGGATTTTGCTTCTAGGACATTGTCCTGGGTTACAGCTGGATGTGACCTTCTCTACCCTTAGTCCTTGCTTCATTCTCCATTATGTCCCCTGGGCCTAGCACAGAGGAGATGCCAAATTATTGAGAGTTTTATAGATGACACCACCATGGTTCTAACTTTGTTTCTTGAAGGGAGATGAATCAAAAGGGGGATTTCAAATATAACTTCCCTTCTAAATCACTTCAAGCGCTTTCTAGCATCTGACAGCTTCATATTCAACATTTTCTTCCTGGTCCCTAAAACTCCAGTTCTTCAGCTCAGTTTAGGATTATGGGCCAGGGTGGGGTTGAGTGGAGGGAGCGTGGAGGAGACCCTCTTCCCTGCCAACGGTGGCCCCACAAAGTCAAGGGAGGCGACAGACAAATTGTGAACCCAAATGAACATGAAACCTAATCGGATTTGGCCACTGGGTGGAATTAGACTATTTTTAGATGAACTATTTTAATATTATCCCCACCTGCTTTGCATTCATATTTTTAATACTTCTCTGAAACTGAACATTTGTCTATAGTCTGCCTTATTTCATTCCAAGCTGCTGCTAAAGGTGTGATATGAGCACCTGCCTCCTGAGTTATTGTGGGACCAAACACTGATTCATAGACTGGCTTTCCCACCATTGATAGTACATTGGAGTGCACTTTTCACTTGCTAATCAGCTTGGCTAAACTTCCTGTTTTATCGAGCTATGTTTGATACTAAGCCCAGAAGTAGAATTAAGGTGGGGATATTTATGCTCAATAAAGGTATTTTAAGTGAATAAATACGTGATTAAGAAAGTGGGGAAGTAGCTCTAGTTTAGGTTCTCTGTGACACCTTGTCTTCCTTCTCTGGAATCCGCTTCCCTCCATTGGTGGCCTCGGGTACCTTGGTGTCCTCATGGTGTCCCCTAGCTCCCTTGAGTCTCTCCCCTTTGGCATACCATCCAGGCCTGCCCTCCAGCATTCTATTTTCAAATGGGATTCTTGGAGAATGGAATGGTTAGTCTGAAGGAAGGAATCCTCTAATGGTAGACTTCCAGACATTGGCAAACTGGTCAGAGGGCAATATTTGGTGGGAATGGGGCAGGGTGAGGTAGGAGACAGCGGGGAAAGTTTCTGGGAGGCCAGCTCTATTAGACTGGCCCTTATTGAAACCCAAGCCCCAGCCAGTGGAAGCAATGGTACTTATTCTTATTCAATCCTTTATCTGGATGAGCTAAGCAAAGAGAAAAATATATTTGCAGATGGGGAAATCTGAGACCCCGAGAACTGCCCCTCATAGAGTGTGAGTAGAAGAACCAGAAGATATCAAGTCTTTAGATCCCAATTTGTATTACAGGGCCTGCGTGCAAAGTTTAAAAACATATATTCTAGGATGGATGTGCCCACATGAGGGTTTCCTATAATAGAGGCAGATCACTTGTTTCAGTGATTCTACCATGAGTTTTCTTCTTCTCCTTCTTCTTCTTCTTCTTCTTCTTCTTCTTCTTCTTCTTCTTCTTCTTCTTCTTCTTCTTCTTCTTCTTCTTCTTCTTCTTCTCCTCCTCCTCCTCCTCCTCCTCCTCCTCTTCCTCCTTCTTCTTTTTTTAATAAAAAACAACAGCCCACAATTGAGATCTGTCTTCAAATCAGTTTAGAAGACACACAAGAAAAGTCATTATTAAGATGTCATTAAAAACAATAAGGGTGGGGGAATTCCTCAGCAGTCATTACTTCTTTGCAACAAAAAAACTTTTTAAAAACAACGTTATTGAGAAAATTGACATATAATAAGGGCTCACATTTAAGTGTGTATTTTGATGAGTTCTGGCTTTCATAAAACCATCACTACAAACCAGATAATAAACACACCCATCACCCCCAAAAGTTTCCTTGTGACCTTTGTCCTCCAATCCCCCTATCCCATGCCCCCACCTACCCTGTCCCAGGCAACCACTGATCTGATTATAGCAAATGACATTTCATTTTTTTTTAAATCACATTTTTCCTAAAAAAGATGAGAATGTTCTAGCTTTGGGGATATGGTCAAGAAGGGAAATTCCCCAAAGAAGTCCAAAGTGGTCCTTAGCAGTGGCAGCCCTGTAGGAATGAATGTCTAGCCTCTAAAGAAAGGACAATATTCATTTTTTATATAATTCCTGGCATGGCTTTTGAAGGATTAACCACCTTATTTTATACTTTATCTTGTCTTTTATGATAGTCTGTAGTAGGAATCTACTAACCCAAGTTAATTGGCCAGTTCTATAACTGCTGTGTTAAAGCCATCATCTGGGAAAGTAATAACCGTGGTCTATATTCCAACAGTGTCATCTGAGGAATTCCAAAAAGCTGGCAGAAAATACTTTTTATCTCCTCATTCTGTCTTCTACGAGGGAATAACTCTCATTTCCCCTAAACTTACTTCTTGTGCCCCCACATTGAGTCCATCACCAATCTGTGTCAATCCTGTGCTCACAGCAGCTATCAGTTTCATTGTATCCTTCTGATGTCTTCTGTCAGTCACCTAGGGCCGGCCGTCTGCATTTCTCACTCGGTTACTCTGTACCTGTCAGCCCCTTCATCGATTCTCCTGCTTCCAGCCTCTCCCTCTTTTCATCCTCCATGTATCAATGGAAACTTTATAAAAGACAAATCCAGTCATATCATTCCTCTGCTTCAAATATTAAAATCTGTGCCTCTGTGATGTGGCTCATATCTACCTCTCCAGAGCCTCCCCTCTCATAGACCCCACATCCCTGAACACATCCTGCTGTTTGGGCTGCAACCAGGAAAGATTTTCATAGTGTTATAGAGAGTAGAGTGGAGCCCACAGCTCTGCCCGATTCTATCCTCATTTCCTGAGACTCACCTTCCAATGGTACCAAAAAACTTGAGGACTCTTGAATGCACTGGCCACTATTCTACTTGTTCCTTTATGGTTGCTACTTCCTCTGATTGAGGTTCCCCTTTTTCCTTCCCCTTATTTGAGGAAAACCTTGATGCTGTGACCTCACTCCTTGGCAGCACTCTTAGTACCATCATAACACTGACCATTGTGGGTAGTAGATTTTTGATTGGTCACTGATGTTGAGGCCTTGGATCACCTGTATCTTTCATTACAGAATGCCTGCAATTGGCACTTATGCTTGTGGATGGAATAAACCAATTCAACTTGTCTTGTTCCTAAATCAACATCTAAAAACCTCTAGGACTGTGTCACGGGTGGGGAGGATTTAACAAGCCAGAGATCACTGGTACTTGATGCAAAGTATTTGTAGCCTGACACAAATGCTGTCCACTTGCTGCTTTATTATCTGCCAGGAACTTCTCCCAGAGACAGAGATGCCTCATTCCCTTACCTCCTTCAGGTCTCTGCATCTTGATTACCAAGGCCTTCCCTGCCCACTCCATCTAAAATAGTAGCAACCCACCTCGAGCAATCCCTCCTCTCCTACCGCCTGCTTTCCCCCCCTCCTTTACACTTATTACCATTTGACATATATGCACTTATTTATGGATTTATTTATTGTCTGTTTATTTGTTATCATGAGAATGTAAGCTCCACAAGGACAGGAATTTTTTTGTTTTGTTCTCTGCTTTGTCCCTAGTGCCTGCTACAGTAGTGCCTGACACACAGTAGGTGCTCCTATATGATAGTATGTGTTGAAAGACTGAATGTGCACAGGGAACAGTGTGTATCGCTGAGGCACGGTGCTATGCATTTCAGTTTCAGTATGATAGAATGAATTTAGTAATAGCTTGTATGCAATAATAGTAACAAACTGTGGTC